CGGCCAAACGGAACGAGTGAACCAAGTCTTAGAACAATATTTACAATACAGCATCAACTATCAGCAAGACGATTGGACCGCATATTTATCGCTAGCCGAGTTTACATATAACAACACCCTCCATGCGTCGACTCAATACACACCATTCTTTGCTAACTGTGGGTATCATCCAAAGCTTGATTTATTAAGTCCATCAACAAATAACAATCCAGCAGTTGAAGGATATGCGAAGCAACTATTAGAGCTTCAAACTACGTTGAAGCTTCAATTACAATCCGCTCAAGAATCTTACAAGGCGTCTGCAGATAGATTTTGGAATCAAGCACCTACTTTCAAAATTGGAGATAAAGCATGGCTTCTTCGATAGAATATCAAGACCAAGCGACCATGTGATAAGTTGGACTATCGAAGATTGGGACCATTTATCATCCAGAAGCAAATCAATCCAGTGGCATACCGTTTGGAATTACCGGCTTCTATGAAGGTACATCCAGTCTTTCATGTTTCTATGTTGGAGCCTTATCGAGAGTCATCCTTTCTTGGAAGAGTGCAATGTCCGCCACTTAGTATTGAGATCGAGAACCATGAGGAATACGAGGTTGAAAAGGTATTGGATTCACGACAAAGGTGGGACAAGTTGGAGTATCTTGTTCATTGGTGTGGCTACGATATTAATAAGCGAACGTGGGAGCCAGCTGAAAATCTTGCCAATGCGCCACGAAAGGTAGAGGAGTTTCATCAACAACATCCTCGTAAACCTAAGCCAGTTCGACAATAGCTTCCTTCTGAAGCTTGCTCATCCAAGAATATAAGAAAAGGGGAGAGCACCACCAAAACTCGTAGTTGATAAAGTAGAATTTTTGCAATAGCCTTCTGATATGGATAGCCAAGAGATAGATACTATGCCAGTCAGATTATCTCAATTGACTAGCTCACGAAGGTGACCCCGAGATGAAGAACCGCCTATACCACGACGACGACGGAGGATACCGAGTAACCGATCATTGGTGATTGTATTTGAATTCGAGCCTGCGTATGATGGTCAGCCAGAAGGCATGTTTATAAGACAATTTCACAATGAAGACACAAAAGTTCATGCTTAGTCAGAAGTTGAAGGCGTGGGCCTCTACCATTGGCTTCAAGGGCTGATGAACCACTTGCCTCGTTAACAACAATTGGAGTTCATAGTAGACGTTATGCGATAGATCTTCATTTTCTTGCGTTTGTACTGATTAACAATAATATTGCTTCTCAGAGACCTCGAAGCTAAAGGAGGGGGTGATGTTAGGGACATAGTCCTTAGAACCTTCTAGAAGCTTCCTAGTTGGTGGAAGTTGCTTGAAAAGCTTCCTCGTTAGTGGAAGTTGCTTGAAAAGCTTCCTCGTTAGTGGAAGTTGCTTGAGAAGCTTCGTTATTAGTGGAAGTTGCTTGAAAAGCTTCCTAGTTGATAGAAGTTGCTTAAGAAGCTTCTTAGTTGGTGGAAGTTGCTTGAGAAGCTTCCTAGTTGGAAGAAATCGCTTGAGAAGCTTCTTAGTTGGTAGAAGTTGCTTGAGAAGCTTCCTAAATAGGAGTATATATTGGAATCGAGGCTGAAGAGTTCTTCAGTCTCGACAACACATCTCTTGGAGTTCTAGCTCACCTCTCTAGTGTTGTTCTTGTATTCATCTGATTAATCTAGTTCTTGCTAGTTCTTCTTGAACTTCTTGTTAGATCTCGAGCCTGTATTTTTGTGTCCGTGACACTAATCAGCTTACTTATTTTCCATCTCTAGCCATGGCATACCAAGGATAACATCATATCTTAGCTTTGTCACCTTGAATCTCTCTCTTAAGATGTAGGCATCTATCAATCTTAAGGTTTCTTCTTCATATGTCTCATTCAATATGTTTTCTTGGTTGTATGTAAGGTATATACTTCCTTTTTAATTTTCTTAGTTTTAATTTTAACCTAGTCGATAATTTTAATTGAGATGTAATTTTTTATAGAGCCACAATCTACAAGTACTCAATATGGTTGTCCTCTTAATAGTTCTATTAGATGCACCAATCGATTCTTTTTATAGTTATCTAAGGCCATACCATTTATCTTTGAGAGACAATAGATATTCCAAGTATTGACCCTCGGCACCTTTATTAGAAAGCCTCATTTTTCTGCTTTGAGTCATCATTGAGTTGGTGAATTTTGAGACTATGAACTCGCCTTGTCTTGTTGGTACTTGAATTTTGACGTTTTGGGAAACCTCTAATTTGATGGTCTCACTCCCAACAATAAAAACAAAATCCCTTTTACACCAATATTTGTCATCTTTATGGTGTCAATGATCCTTGTATGACATCAATCTCTATTGGCATTGGTTATTGTGTCATAGTATTAGATAGTGGCATAGGACTTTGTATTATAGGTCGTACTCTACAATTTTTGAAGTCTATAGCATCAAGTCTCTCTACAATCTCAATTGCCTCTTTGAATATTTGTAGATTTTTTAGCTCCACCTCTCGTTGGACCTCACGTTTCAAATCCCATAGGAATCAACCCATCATCTCCACCTTTAAAAAATTGTCAATTTAGAAACATAGAAACTTGAATAGTGAGAGATAAACTTGCATCAACCTAGCTTATGTAAGATTTGCTAACTAATCACGTGCTACCCTCTCTGCATTGATGGGCCAAAATTGATTCCTAAATTTGGTCTCAAATTCTTCCTAGTCACAAAATCCACCTTGAGCCCTATAGCTTTGAACTTAATGTCGCCACCAAATGGCTGCCGCATCTTTCAAATAGCTGGTTGTATATATAATTCCTTCAGTGATATTTGCCCCAGATAGTTGGAGGTATTGTTGCATGTTGAAGAGCCATTGACATACATCTTTTTGTCTTATAGTTCCAAAGTATGTACTAGACTTACTCAATTTCGGCCTAACACATGTTAATTCTCTTATCCTTGAGGCTTCTATTTGTCCTTGCAAAGTAGCTATCTGGCCTAAGAGGTATTGTATTTGAGCCTTTATTTGGGATTGCTCTACCATATCTTCCATATTGTAATTTCTCTTCTAGATCCCACTATTATAATGTCTTTTCACCTCTCAATTGACTTTTTAAAAGTAGCTTGTGGTAGCCTCAACATAGTATTGAATGTATCCATAACAACTAACTTTGTATTAAATGATGACTATTTATACGCTACCAAAAGTAAATAGTCTAACATCCACTATGATACCAATAAAACAGGATTAGACTATCTCAAAAATCTTAGACTCTTCTAATCCAAAGTAACATAAAGCTTCATCACAAAATAGGACAAAACAAATCAAAACTAAACTAAATGAAACTAAATGGAGTATAACATGAAAGACAAAATTGAGCAAACGAAAACAAAATAAAACTAAACTGAATAAAAAGATAAAAAACCAAATTTTACTAAGAGAAAGGATTCGAAGCCATACCTGAACAGATGCCCAAAAGGCCTTGGCCAGTCATATTTATATCTTGTCATATCACCCTGGACTTTCTAGAATCTTCCTAAGTAATAGATTCCACCTAGATAATCGCCCTAAGCGTCTTCTAGAAGGTTCCATGGTGAGCCCCATATAAATAACTGCCCTAAAATCTTTCTAAAATGTTCCATGATGGATCCTACCTACTCCACTAATATATCCCTAATTCTATAGACTTCCATCATTCTAACTATCTATACAATTATCTTATCTATATCCTATTACATATACATATATGTATATATATATATAAAAATACATATATATATATATATATATATATATATATATATATAAATACTTTTCCTTCAATGTATTTATAAAGAATTGATATGTTAAAATTTACAATGTTGAATTTTATCAATAGTTGAACTTTTAATAAATTATTTGATTTATATATTGAAGATGTAACTATGAATAATATATTCATATGTATTAGATAAAAGTTTTGAAATTTTGTAGAATGTGTGCATGTTGTTTAAAATAAAAGAAGATATGATTTTTTTTAAATTCATAGTCAAAAAAGATTTAAAACCAATGGAAAAAATATTAGTACTCTTATATTTCATTCCATCAAAAATAAATAGATATATATATATATATATATATATGACAATAATAAGGTGGTCTAAATTTTTATTAAAGAAATCCACTCTATCTTAACCATCATTGCATCCTTGCAACCCTCATTTCTATTCCTAATCATTCCTTGTTTGTAACTATTGCTTAGGATGGGAGTGGGGGGGTAGAAATAAGGATGACAATTGAGAGCAGAAAGATGGTTTGGAATGAGGAAGAGGTTGAAAGGGTACAATGATGGTTTGAACATGTGAATTGATTTAATAAAAATTTGAATTGTTTTATCATTTCTCTCTCTCTCTCTATATATATATATATATATATATGTATATTTTTCAAGCATGTAAATTTTTTAATAACTAAGTCTTATTATTGTGGTTTGTAAGTGATATGTAAAAAGAAAAAATACAAATAAATACGATTATATATTCAAAATAAAAGAAGAAAGATCCTTTTGATTTTTCACAAGTGAATGAACATAGCAGATGAAAAAACTATGGTAATTTACAACATATTTTAATTTTTGTAAACAATTTTGTTATGAAGGTTTTAATCTCTTTTAACAGATATGAAAAGAAAGGTTGATGGGACCTGTTATGAAAATTGAGGTCCATTGCATGAAGACTTCAGTACAATCATTGTAAGTTTTTAAATATATTCCTTCCAGATATTAATGACGTGCATGCCTTCCCTCTGCAAGCTAATGTATGCTATTGCGACGAAGTTAGTGTTTTTCTAACTGGTTTAAAAGAAAGCATCAGCAACACGTGTTGCAAGTTCCTCAAGATAGTTACACCCAGAGTTTCAGAAAACTTAAGGATGTCTTTGAACAGCTGTTGTGGAAGTTATGAGGATGATGCAATAACGTGTGACGAGGAAGTTTAAAACATGCACGATTATTCTGCCAACACCATGTCAGATTGCACGTAATAGAGAATGCATGTCCATGACATTATTTGCCTTCCTGTCACAATACAATTCATGACCGTCGACGTTGTCGTTTCAAGCCATTAAGATCATGTATCAGTTCGTTTTTTCTCTTTGTCTGTCCATTCTCTTATGAATTTACAAATATGCATGTCTAAGTTTCCGGGAAAAATCGTCAACGAAGCGTCACATCTCTCCTACAGCGTGAAGTTGGATGCCTCCTCTTCTACTCCTGACTCTATGGTACATGTCTAAAAATTCAGCCGCTGGCAGCTTTTCCTTTTACTATCACCCAAATCCAGGGGTTGTTTTTCATCTCCTTCCGCTATTAATTACAGGGTTGTCTGCTAATTGATCTTCACAGACATGTCATTAAATTAAAAATAGAATGGTGAATGCTGCATCGATGCCATATGTACAATAAGATCCACCACCCTGTGACTGCACAACCAGAATCCATTTGTGAGACTTGATGCTTCTCTAGAATCTGAAAACAATGTTACGATATTTCAAGCACGCAATACTTCGGCGCATCTTCAGCGAGGACTAATGTTATGTAACTGTACCTATAACCCCACTCGTTGTCAAACCATGTCACAAGCTTGAAGAAGCCGTTGCCTAATGAAAGCCCAGCTTTTGCGTCGAGTATGCTCGATCTGAAATCAGAGAGGTAGGAATCCTGTTAGAAGCTTTCAGGAGACAACTAGAAACAAAGAAGAACTTCGCAGTAAAGATTCAAAGTGAACACATCCGCAGTTAAAGAGTTCATGATAAATTTTGAACATACCTGCTGTCTCCAATAAAGTCGGTCGAAGCAGCATCTTCCTCCGTATAGCCTAAGATTCCCCTCATAGGTCCATCCGCCGCTTCTCTGCAATAACAAGTACCCATACATGAGTACTTAATCACGAACAATCTTCGATTAACCAAATATGTACGACACATGGAGAATGGTACTTACTTGATTGCTTCACAAACTTGCTCGTAAGAGACGAGCTGATCGAGCTTGACCGCTAAATCGATAAGCGAAGCATCAGAAGTTGGAACTCTAAAGGCCATGCCACTAATTTTTCCGTTCATGCGTGGGATCAACCGACCGATGACCTTGGTAGCGCTCGTGGAGCTGGCTATGATGTTGGCGCAGCCGCCTCTCCAATCCTTTAACGGGGGACCATCGAGAAACTTCTGCGTTGCGGTTAGAGAGTGCACGGTTGTCATCACGCCCTCCACGACTCCAAATCTGTCATCGAGAACCTTAATAAGCGGCGTCAAGCAGTTCGTGGTGCAGCTGGCCATAGCGACGACGTTGTATTCGGACCGGTAATCGCACTCATTGACGCCCATAACAAACATTGGTGCATCTTTGCTGTTCCCTGTGATAATCACTTTCTTTGCGCCACCCTTAAGATGCTCGGCTGCTCGGTCTTTCGTGGTGTAGTTGCCAGTGCATTCCACCACGTAATCAACGCCGTACTCACCCCATGGAATCTCGGAGAGCTCTTTGTATCCAAGAACGGCAACCTTCTTGCCGTCGAAAGAGAAGGTTTGCTCATCTTCAGCGTAAATGTCCGTTTTCATCATCCGCCCATGCACAGTGTCATACTTGAACATGTATGCCTGCGGTAACATGAGTATTGTCAATGTCAGTCTAGCAGATCCTAGATTGAGTTGGACCCAAAGTCGGATCGAAGAGCAGAATTAAACAAAAAAGGATTTCTGAAATGAAACTTTCATGGGTTGCTACAACTAACCATATAGTCTGTGCTGACGAATGGGTCGTTGACAGCAACTAGCTCGATGTCATCCCTCTCCAACGAAACTCTAGCCACGAGACGGCCAAACCTACCAAAACCATTAATGCCAATCCTGATTTTTTCAGGAATGATCTTCGCTGAGGACCCTGAACAATTTGCACAAGTGACAAAGAATCAGCGCAAAGAACCAAATATAACATGAACCAACGCACAACTAACAAAGAAAGCCTCGGTACCACTTGGTTTTAACAATCTCTCTGAAGACCTGCGTAGAAACTTTGCACGAGGTCCATGAGATTAAGGTGTGTCCTAGGGGGTTGCCACACCGGAAACAATCTCTATTACGATTCTGTGAAGGAAGAATTCCAAGATCCTGCAGCATGACACCTAGTCAACATGCTGTCAATTCTCGTGCAATCTAAACTTCTCGGAACACAACGACATCATGTCGTGAAACAGCTGGAAATGTGCGTGTACCGCCCTAGTTCATTTCAAAGAAAACTGACAAGCTCGCGGACCTCATGCGCAGAGGCCCGCTCGAACAAGTTTTGGCGGACAGAAGCAAAGAAAGGCCGTCCTATTCAATATCTTCAATGTTTAAACTCTCCAAGTCACGAAGCTGAGCTGCGCAAATTCCGAGAGATTGAATTCCAGAAAAGAAAATGGTTACATTGTAGAAGAACCTGTAGATTACTGACCTTTCCCCATGAGTACTCTGGCAATATAAAATCCCCAAGTTGTGTAGCTGCAAAGAATCGTCGTCAAGTCAGCGCAAAGCCGAAGGGCAGCCGCGTTTCTCTCTCTGCTCAGGAGCCACAGATTCACCGAAGCAAGAATACGAGGGTTACCGCGACTCAAAGGGCAATGCTGTCAAAGAAAGAAACTCTCATATACGTTGCAGACTCTCATATTCCTGCTTCATCCACGTCGCAAAACCTTCACCACTTCACCACTGCAATGCAGTTCTCTCTTCAAATTAAGAGTCCAAGCGCTTCGACCCTCTTGCTCACCACCTTCCCATGAAATAAACTCTCTACAACAACACACAATCGCTTCCCGCGAGTCTGCCGAAACAAGAAAACTATAATTTAAAAAAAAATAATAAAAAAAAAAATAAAAAAAAAAAACTACAACCCCCTCATTCTTCAATCGCTCGCGAAAAATTCCAGTACAGTCACCAGTTCTTCCCCACTCAACCTGCTCCTCAAAGCCAGCTCCAACTTCGAGAGGACAAACCCGACACAAAAAAACAGCTCTCAGATCCTCCACACAAACAAACTCTCTCACTCAAAACTCCTTTTCACTGAGATATTCGACAAGCTCAACACTCTCCGAGTCTCACCACCGCGCTCACTCATCAAACCGCAATTGCGATTCCTCGTCAATCAGCACCCGAATCCGGTAAAAATAAGTCATCGCGAGGCGAGCTTTGAATGCATCTTCTTCATCCCCATGCGCGCAGTTTCATGCTAGTCTCCCACCCGCCACCTCCACACCTCCCCCTTCCCGAACCTTGCGCCACGCTTCGGATCCGAAGCAAGGCCCAGCTCAGTCCCATGGCGGACAAGCGGTCGTTTGCCGTGAAAGTACATTGCGGCTGTCAGACGAACGTCAAAACATTCATCCAAATCCACTCTACTATATCCATCCATCACAGCCCGCCTCTCTGTTGGTCTATTTGCAGCATCGGTGCACGGGGCGACACTTGGCAGCAAAAAAAGTCGATGCAAAGTTCGCGGGAATGGATGAAAACAGCTGGATTCCAATGGGGGGTCAGGGGGGGTTTAATAATTTTTACTACTAGAGAGTGGAATCATGTGACTGTTTCAACTGGGCATTGAAGACTCTATCATTGCCCATCAAGGCCCCCTTTTCTCACACACTCACTGTTTATGGTCCCTCCTCCCCTTACTCTCTCAATTGGGTCCCTTTTGAATGGGTCCATTGGGGGGGGGGGGGGGGGGGCTCTAATTAAGTGGAAGGCCAGGCACAGCTCCTCCACACAAGGGATGCCCGTGAACAATACAAATGGAATCCTCTCTCATTGCTCATTTGCTTTTTTATTTTTGATTTATTTGTGTGCAGATGCTGTTTCTAAATGGAGGGGGGAGGGGGGGGTGGGCGCTTGGTTTAATGGTGACACTGAGGTGTCAAATTGGAGGGTGGGTATAGGAGCTCTTTGCCCCATGCCAGCCAGCAGTCACCTGGTCTGCATGGATGTAAAAAGGGGAGGGGGACCAAAACAGCAGCCCATGCATCTACACAAATGTGTTATGGGTTTTATTTTTATACAAATGTGAAATATTAATATATTAATTCAAAGGTCATGTCTCATCAGCCCACATTGAGGGGAGCTTGGGGCACAGAAATCAACACTTCGTTTTTTCTTTTTTGCCTCCTTGATGAAGAACATTCCTGCTTGGGAAGCTGCACATAAAAGCTGAGTGGCCAGTCATTCTAGAATCCAGGCAAATGTTTGCTTTTCCATCTTGATTACTTATAAATTAAAGTATTAAATTTAAATTTAAATAAAGTCAGATGGGATTGAGTGAGGCTCTTTGAGAAACACACACACACACACACACACATGTATATATAGAGATTAAGATATATGTGTATGTGTGTAAAAACAAATGAATAGAGGGAGACGTATTGTGCAACAATTAGAAAACAATCTCACTTGAAATTATGTGTTTTTCTTTTAAATATATTTGATTGGTGCACTTTAATTTGTATTTTGATTTCCCCTTTTTGATAATTTCCCTTAAATTATGTTAACCTCAAATCATCAACTATAAAAACATTTTAGGTAGAAACTTTTAAAAATCAATTTCCTAAATTAATTCATGATTTCATGTGCATCATAGGTCTCTTCTTGGCCCATGTTTTCTAATTCAATATACATTCACTCTTTGAATTCTGACAAAGTCTTACACAAAGAGCCCTGTAACTTGTGATAATTTAATTGGGTTTCCTTCCTCTGAATTTTATTGTGCTCTCTCTCTCTCTCTCTCTCTCTCTCTCTCTCTCTCTGTGGTCTACAAGCATCATTTATACCACTTTTTTTTTCAGGATAATGAAATGGCTAACTTCATATATCACATGAAATTGTGGGTTAAGTTAAATACCAATTTTTTTGTAATCATTGGGAATTTTTAAAAAATATATGAAACAAGGACATATAATAACCTTTGAATTTCTATTTTGTATTTGAGATAGTATTTTCTTTTTTAAAGGACAAGCTTTACAAGGAGAAAATGTATAAACATGAAAGGATAACAATAAAATAAATGACAGAACTTAGATTTCATTCTATAAATAACTGTATTTTGTTTTAGACTTTAATCTAAGATTGTGAAAGACAGAGAGAAGAATGATACATTAACTTGTTTTTAAGATCATAAGAAAACATTTTTATAAAAAGTAAACCATTCAATTAACTAATGATGTTAAGGACATTTAGGATTTTTAAAAAGTATGGTAAAGCACCATAATTGCAATAGGATCAAATATGTGTCATACACTATGGACACAACACATTAAGTTACCCCACTACCATTTTTTATTTTTAATTATTTTTCTATTGATTTGGAATATTATTTAAATTTAAATAGATACATGAATTACCCTTTTTTTTAAAACGTCTCAATAGGAAACTATTTTCAATCATTAGTAACTTTTTATCCACAATGATTAAAATAAATGCTTAGATTCAAATAATTCAAATTTGTACCTTAATAGCATTTTTTGCAGGTGCTGAAATTGTTGTTGATGCATATATACATATACAATAAAATCCATCCATTAATGTGTCCTTATTTTGTAAGAGTTGACATGGTTAAATTACCAATTCATTGCTTTATACTAAATGGAACCTTTTCACAAACCCCTTTCAATTACTCACTTATTTTGTACAGTAGCCATTTCACAAGGTATGAATTTTAAGATGCCACCAGCAAATCCATCTCTTGTATACAACATTGACATATTTTTAAAAGGTAATTTGGGGAGTTCTGACACACATAGTGACAAGCATTCAGTGAGCAGTTTTGTATATACTATTATTCATTGCAACTCTGAAATTAAGCTTTGTTGCACCCCATGTGTCAATACATAGATTGCCACAATTACTTGATTTCAAGTTGAATCTTAATATTTTCCTGCTTTGACACTCAATGTGCAATATGTCCAACATTTTAAAACAAACAAAAACACCACCATGAGTGCCAAAACTCCAACCCTAAAACATTGACCACTGTGTAAATTTCCAGACAGTTTACAGACAGACTGTGACCTGTCTGAATGGAAGCTAGTCTCAGAAACATGGCATGCGTTCATGGTGCCATGTGTCTCAACAACAAAATCCATATCCAACAGCCCTAATTTCAAGCAACCACTACCTTTTCTACACAGCCCTAAATCCGACCTCCATTTGCAGGGCCTCACCAACCAGACAAAAAAAGGTTCTTAGCACCACCATCATCAGTCTTATCTCTCAGCTCTTTGTTGTCATCAGGCTTCAAGTGCAAAGTGTTGCCCCATTCTCTTCAGGGTGTTTTTATTTTAAGGTGTTGTTATGAAAGAACTATCTTGGGTAGTCGAAATAATGAAAACTGAAAAGAAAGTCAAAGGAATTAAAGGTGATATGGGGGTGGAGACACATGTTCAATCTTCCTCCCCAAGGACCACTTTGGGCAACAACTTGATGTGGATGAGGGGAATTGTTCATGTGGGGCGTTTTGCAAGGTGGTGCACCCACATTTGCTAGCCATCAACTTGTCCAACAAGGCCCACCTTAAGAAATTCCCCTTCAAATATGTTCAACAAGGTAAAGTGAAGGACAAGAATGAAAAAGATGCATGTAAAAAATAATAATAATAATAATAATAAATAAATACACACAAAGATAAGAGTCATAAAATAAATAAATAAATAATGTCTGGCCTTTCTTGTGCCACAGAACAGAACAGACATTGGCTCAGATGGACAGAACCGATCCAGATATGTCCCATTGGATGGATGGATGAATGAATGAATGGTGGATGAACAGGGAGCTGCAACCAAGGAACATGAATCTGCTACCCCCTTTCCAAGATCGGAAACTTTGAAACCTGCAGCAGCAGCAGAAAAGCATGGTGGAGGTCGTGAACAGGTTCCCCATGCCATTTGCACACATGTGTATGGTGGATCATGTGAGGCAGGAGAGATCACATCCAGGAAACTGTATCTTGTGGAACGGATGGATGGATGGGTTATCACAAGCAGACCCAGTACTTCACAAAAGAAAGGGATGTGAGGGGACATTCATTCATGAAAAAAAGGCACCAACTGTTGTGTATTGTGAGAGTGTGCGAGAGTTTTGACATTCAATGTGTGAGTGGACTCAAAAAGACACAGGTGTCATTTGATTGTGCCAATGTTCTTTAATCTGGTGTGGTGCTGACGGGACATGATGGAGGACTATCTCACCAGTTTGTGTTCCCATGCTGTTTTAACAGTGCATGCGTGGACAGAGTATTTGGATATGCTTGTGACTCATAAGCCACACTCTCTTTTGTGCTTCTCATCATTATTATTAGTATTTTTTGTTCAGGGAAGACTAGTTAGTGGGTTTCACCTGTCAAATACAACTACCACTGTGAGAACTTTTTCATTGAGGAACCCCATTCCATGTGAAATGTGCGGGAACATGATGGGAACGGAAATGAGAACGTGAATGGGAACATGTAAGATATGATTGTATTTTTATTCAGATTTAGTTACGAATGTGATCTGAAAACAGAGTTGATGTGTCTTTCCGCTGGATGATATCATCCATCCGTGAGCTACAGTGGAAATGGGGGTCATGTGGGGCATGGAGTGCAGTGCCACGACAGCACATGAGGTGTTGACGTGGATTGGTGACGTGGATTGCAAGTCACGGTAGAAGTGCTTTTACCTGACTGTTTATAAAGATCTAAGTTAATTGGAATTGAAATCTTGTGTCAAATGAAAACCTAACCCCCTTTTTATTTTCTTTTTTTTCATTTTAAACCATCAAACTACTTCAAAACAAACGTTGTTGGCATAATAATTTATTAATTTTTAGATCAAAGTGGTGGACTTAAATTCATTTTTGGACTGGTGGTACTGCATTGATGATTCAACTTCACTATTGTGTGTAAATTACGCTTAAAATTTACAAGTGAAATATCACTAACATCATTTCTGCATGTAACATCATGCATTAATGTCGACATTGATTACCAAGTTTTTTTTTTTTTTTTTTTTTTTTTTTTTTGTTGTTTCTCTCAACGTTGTTAAACTACTTGATATGCATCATAGATTTCTTCAAACCATTCTTAGTATGTAGACCATAATGATAAAAATATTAGTTTACAATACAAAACTAATAATTTGTAGACCTATAATAGAGAAAATGAATTTAATCCCATTAATGTACTAATTTTTATGTGACAGTGATAAAAATTGTTTATTGGTAATGAATTTATAAAGGTACTTGGATAGCTATATATAACATTACTATATATATGTGCATACATACACATACATTAGTTACATATAAAAGTTTGCCAATAATTGGAATTTCTATGGTAATTTAATAGAAATATTATAATTTCACTGTAATTTTAAATTTTCGAATTCTCAAACCCTTTGTAATTTGCTTTTGCAAATACTGTTGCAACAGTACAAAATCTCTTTCTATATAAATATAAATAGAATTACTAAATAAAGATGTTGCAACTCCATTGTATTCAATCAAACATTCAAGTAAATAGATATTGATGTTGAATAATGTTAACATGTAATGAACGTAACAGTTAATTATCGTGTCAATATGATTTTTTTAAAAGGCATTTACCCCGGGAAGTCACAAAGCACTCTCTACATAACCCATATACATATTTACACAGTTGTTCACATTAGTATTCTGAGATTACTTATTATCATTGTGCCTATCAATTTTTCTAATAATAGGTTTTAGAAGTTCAGCATTACTATCAAGCATTGGGACTGAAAGTTAATGATGTCTTTGAGTTTTAGGATTGATATCAATGCTGACATTGTCTGAAAAACATGAGCAGCTGAAGTACTTAAATATTTTACTATCCGTGAGGTAATCATTATTGAAGCATTCCTTACACTGAATTGTAAGACTTCAGTGGTTTATTTCCAAATGTCATAAACCAATTGATCGAAAAAAAAGCACTCGTATTACTCTAAGCCTAAAGTACTCAGCATTACATCTCCTCCTAATCATCCATTCCAGATACTGTTGCTCTCCAGCATAACTGCAACATCTTATCCGTTTGCAACCATATCCCACCGAGTTTTTTGGCACAATGTCTTCACCTCCGTTTTCATTTGTGATATGGACGATCATCGTGTTCTCAATCAGCTTACATTCGTTATGGGTTTCGGATATTAGATACCGAGTTTCTCTGAGAATTAACGCGCATTGTCTGTACACCGTGCTGGTCAGAGGACGTTCTGGTGACTATTTAGGCAGTCCACCCTTAAATGGAGCCGTTCCGCCGCACGTCGGCCTTCCTGAACTAGCCACTCCAAACTCCACATATAGATGATTTGACTTTTCGGTAAGGTAATCCGGCCCGATATGGGCACATTCGCTGGAGGAGCAACTTGGGGCATTTCAACTTCAGATTGCCGTCTATGATATAATAATCCTCGCCAGCCTTGATCCGAGAAAATAGATGAGGGAGCTCGGACGGCAAATGGAGCGGAGAAGATGGATTTGCCCTATCAGACAAGCTCTGGAATTGTTTGGTAACATACCCACACAAAACGCGTCTTCACACTCCCATGCAATTTGATCCATGGATTAAACCAAACTTAGATCCCGAATTGGGAGAAGAAGCAGCAGAGAAGAATTAATGCTCAAGAACTCCACGGAGATTTTTCCTATCAGGGTTCACGTGGCTCAAGTGTTACACGTCAGATTCACGTCACACCCGCAATCAAATATGGCACATTCGAAATCCACAACTGCCTTAGAAATATAGTATTCTCAGATATCCTTTGCTCCAACTCCTAGCACCAATGCAGGTTTAACCCTCATTGATAAATGATAACTGCTGCACTGAATCAATTATCTGTCCTGTTTATTGCCGAGGCAGAGAGACTGTATAGTTGCTAAGTAGCCTTCTGGCCATCTAGCATCTGTAAACTACATTGAAAATTATACAAGCTGTTCGTAAATCGTTAGAGATGGCTATATTACACGAAACATGGTTCAATCAGGACATCTCACTCATCCTCATCTGACGTCATTGCATCAATCAATGCTTTCCTTGCACCTTTCCTTGTGAGAAGATGTTCTTCCAATGTGGTGTCATCTTGAAAGTAGCTCTCTACACCTGAACTAATGGTAACCAGCTCCTCACCACCAACATCCACCTGCAGAAACAGCTCACGTTTCAGGAGAACATCGAGGAGACATTGATAACATTTGCACTCTTCGTTAAAAAGCACACTTGGACATAGTAAATAGTAATATCTTAAGAATGCATTGAGATGCGCACAATGCATCTAAATAAAAGGTACTATGCCAAAATGCACAAGGCAGGTGAGACTTGTACGAAACAAACCTATGGGAACCAAAATCCTCTAACGCACTCCATCGCCATTGGTGAGTGATACTAACCTCATCATTGCTCGACGTCTGTTTTCTTTGAAGTCTACGCTTCTTTGATGTTGATGCAAGATGGTTGTCGTAGATTCGGACTTCTTGCAAAGCTGCTGCAAGATCTTGCGTATCCTCTATGTCGGATACATCTTTAAAAAACAACGCGAACAGCCAAGAGTAAGAATTTGCGATACAAAAGTAATGCTCGAATACATATTACAGGCGCAGAGCATTGACTTCCAAAAGGATTTTGAAAGGTACCTGTGTCCGAGTCACCCCAAGTTGACCTCTTCGGCTCCAAAGAAGGCCTTCTCTTTCTTTCGTGCGTCTTCTTGGCATTGATAATGGCATCGTCTCTGTCGCCATCACTAACTTCGAATTTGTCCATTACACCCTCAATAGGATGTCTCCCCGATTGTCGCCTCTTTCTTTGGAAAACCTTGGAGACCTTTCCAGTCTCTGATTTCTCCAGCAACTGGTCGTCAGAGTCGCAGTCTTTGGAGGCCGAATTTGTGGTCTTTGGCTGATCCTCCAGCATTCCCACTTCAGATGGTCTTGGTAACTCGCAACTAACTACTACACCTGACACCTGAATTTCATCGGCAGCATCTTTGGCCCCTGTGTTCTCGCCTCCAACCCCCATTCCCACTTCTAGTTCCTCACGAGGACCTTCGTTATTGGGATGTGCTTTTTTCTTTCGCAAAGAATTCCTCATAGATAGATGTTGAGCTAAGGGTATGTTATCATCACTAGAATCTCCCTGCTGCGTTTCGTGGTGCACGTCTGCTGTAGGTTTGTTGATTTGAGTATGTTTTCGCGCTGAAAGCCCCCAGGAAGCCTTAAAAGCACTAGATACATTAATATCGGCATGCTGGCCCTCCTTAGAATCATCCGGGTTGGGTTCCACATCATCTTCCTTCTCAGATTTATCTTCATCATCTGACATTTGTGCCAGTTTAGATTTCCGCTTTCGAGGTTCAACGCAACCCAATTGCTGCAGTCTCCGCTCAATTTGAGCAGTGGTGAAGTCTCCTTCAAGATCATTCGATATGAGGTGCTTAAATCTTGTCATTCCCTTGTACCTTCAGGATGTCCCAAACCAATTGGAAATGTAAGTACAGGAAGATGACATTCAAATGAGCATTCATTTAACCTAAAAATGAAAAGCCTAGATAAATTCAATCTTAGGACAGACTTACTTTTCGAATAGAGACTGAAGTTTATGGTCCTGTTCTTTACTAAAAAGCCCACTTTTGCGTCTCCGTTTAGGCACCTCATTTCCTCCTGAAATTTCTGAAATTCCAGATTTTCTCTTCTTCTTGGAACCCTTTAAATCATTTTTCTCTGCAGAAAGTACATCGTTTTTCAAAATATCATCCTGATTGCTATCCTCATCGTCACTTTCCTCATCTAAGCTCTCCAGCAGCCCCTTCATCCCTCCAGGACCTGCAATGTCTTCTTCCTCGCTTATTTCTTCGTCGGATCTGCTATCTGGGTCATGATCTCTCTGTGCATCGGTGTGATGCGTATTCTCTTGATTATCAGAATCACTTCCATCCTCATTCTCGCTGTCATTTCTGATATTTCGAAGAAACTTGTTCTGGGTGATCTTCCCAACAACTCTGGCAAGGCCCAGCCGTTTTAGGCCTCGACCAATTTGCGAAGGAGTGAACGGCTCACCAGAATCCTGAACAGCCCCGGCCTTCTCTAGTCCCTCTGCAATAAGCTTGTTGCAGCTACGATTCTTTTCGAAACTGTAAAGCATTACGATTCATTCGAAGACGTTAGAATTCAGGAGAGGCCCAGATCAGACAAATTACAGAGGGAGACACCAACTACTCACACCAGCTCTTACCAAGTGTATCCAAGGAAAACTACACTGACATTTGGATTCTAAATCAGATAAAAGAAATGACAAAAAAAAACATCCAATGTGCCTATGAAGGAGGGGGCATACGTCTTAAACAGGTCTTTGATCAGGTCTTCCTGAAAATCAGTAAAAAGACCTTTCTTTTTCACAGCCTTCTGCCTTTTTACTTTTCCTTTCTCCTTGTTGCTGCAGACAAAAAAAATCCTCGTCATTTATTTCCTCTGACAATTCACTCTCCACAGAACCTTCGAATTAGAGACATAAGTACCAACAGCTATATCATCTCCACAAAAGACTAGCACTAGTACAATCTTGAGTTGTGAGAGGTCACAAACCGGTCCACTGACCTGAAGAGAGTCTCAACACTAGGCAGGTTTCCATCATTTCCTAGATCATCGTCGCCATCTCCCAAACTGTTCAACAAGGCTCTTCGATTCTGGGCATGTGTTTCCTTGCCACTATCATCGTCGTCGTCGTCTCCCAAACCATCCAATAACGACCTTCGATCCTCAAGTTGTGCCCATTTGCTGAGAGTTTTACCACTGCTGCTAAACTTCTTGAGGTCATGAATCATGTAGTTTGCTGTGATGCAGTGACAGTCTTGTTTTGATTTCCAGAAGAGAATGTCCACAAACAACATGGGTGATGACTTCAGCTTTTCGAAGAGATGACGGACAAGGCTGGTCAAAAATGCTATCACGTACTGATGTTGCTCGGAGTTTCTTAAGCTGTGGTTGGAAAGGATCTCGTAGCAGGTCTGCAATATTGAGAGCTGCAGCAGAGCATGCAACAATATCAATATGAGAGGACATCCAGAATTCCTACAGTTTTCGGGTTTTAAGTCTAAGACAAACCATGAAAACGGGAGTAGGAAGTTATATAGTAAAATCAAGTAGCAGAAATAAAAGATTTGGAAGCTGCACTATTCGAGATCAAGAATTACCTGATACAACATAGGCTCCATCATGCAGTCCTGGGAGATCCGCTGCAACATCCTTACAATGTAATAATTTATAGCCGGAGTGTTAAGGAGGTAATTCTTCAAAAGCCAACAGTAGTTGTGCAATATGGAATTGTCAGCGAACATCCTCACGCACTTCATAACGTCCAGAGTCTCTTCTTTTGTTTGCACCTCCTCTTCTTCCTCTTCTTCACTGTCCATCTCGCTCTCTTCCACGTCATGAACCTCCTTGTCCTCAACTTCATCAAAGTCATGCTCATCAGTAACACCATGATGTCCTTCCACTCCTGCCACTTCGATATCTTCAACAGGCCCAAAATTCGTATCTGCGTGCTGGGCATGCAAAATATTGGAGAGTAGTGTATTGCTGTTAGGATCTTCGGGTGCAACTAGGGGTTCATTAGAAGTATTGGACTCCTCTACCTCATGGATGCTACCGGATTTATGATCCGGCTCCTTCCTTGTTGATCCAGATGGCTGTACACCTTTCTTCCGAGAGAGCTTGGAGGACTTCTTAGTACCACGAGCTTTTTTTTTGACCTGGAGAGAGACACCACCATTACTTAAACAGTAGTTGACGATATCCCTCACCAGTTGATGCGAAATAGTCACTCGTAGGAGAGAAACACTGAGCGAAAGAAAAGAATAGTTTACAACATACCCTCAGTGCCCCGTCTTCTTTAGTGATGGAATCGAGTAACCGAAGTACAATGTGCGTAGTCTCTACCAAACCCGCCAATTGACTGCACAGGAGAAAAGCGCCAAGCTGATGTCAACACAAGGAAAATGGGGACCTTCTCTTAAACTTACAGTTAACCGCACCAGAGATGAGCTCTTGGTTACAGAGCTATCGAAAACTCTAAGAAATTCAGTTCATTACACAGTCATTTTTTATGATTCAAATCATTGCTCGACGTGCCTGCGGGGTTGTTTATGGATGTCAAATGTTTTGATAAGACGACAGATGAATGGAAGGATTCCGTTTTCTGTGTGGTCGTAGAAGACTTTATACAATAGGATTCGTGCAACACGCACTTCCTGTTGTCCTTCACTTGAATTCCGATCAGCTGCCTTCAGAATGTAGTCTAGCATGTGAATCTGCAAAATACCCACAGCGAAGTGTAATTGAGAAAACACATGATTGGGGAATAACCTGCATCACTGGGCAGCTTAAGTGCATTGAACGCCCCGTAAGTGCGTATTCAAAACATTAATCGTGTCTAAATTGATTTAGACCAATCAGCCAGTGTGATGACAATGACCTGGCAAAGAACCAACATTCAAGTTGATCCAGAAGTCCCTAATTCATGCAAGCATTAACAAGATAAGGATTTACCATTTCTTTGAGAAGCTCTCCTGAGGACGTTGCTGGAAACCAATCGTTGCTCAACTTTGCATTCTCGACAAAGCATTGCCATTTCATGGTGACCAGAATGAACATATCTTCATCCATGGTGGATGCAATTCGACCACATCTTCCTTGAAACGTAGGACCACTATCTCCAGCCGGATCTCCACGTTCTCCAGCTGATTGTACACCCTCATTTGGCTGCAAAGGGGAGGGCGCATAAGTTTCAAACATTCGGCACAGAACAGGTGATCTTCGAAACAAGACTATTTACGTTCAGTGTACATATTTGTTTCTGAATGCACAGGGATGTAGGAATTCGGACATACCTTCTTCATCAGGTGACAGCGCTGGTAAGCCGTAAAAAATTTGGCGACAGCGAAAAACATTACGATATCCTGCGACTGCACATTGTTTCTTTCACCTCGGATATCATCTATAATAGTCTGCATTAACACTGCAAGACGCAACCTCAAACAGTCAAACTTTTTGATTTGGCATCTTCAGACAAGTCATACACAAGCGAAGTTCCACGATTCTCTTATGAAATTACAAGGGATGGTCTTCCAGACCGTCAAACATAGGACCAAAACTGCCAGTGAGATCCATGCCCCTCAGGAGATTTCTAAACGAGTTCGAGAAAAGTAGATCAAATGCTGCTGGAATCCACTCATTACTGACGACGTAAACAAGGCCTATTCAAAGTAAAGTGAAATGACTTACAGTTATAATTACCCTCCAAAAGCTGGTCTGCGAAGACCTTAAGCATGCTACATACAGTGGAATTGGATGGAACATGTACTGGAAGGTCAGAAGCAACTTTCTTCACTTGCCCCCTTTTGATTTCAGGTTTCTGAAACAAATTATCTAGAGGCGACTGGTATGGATTTCTAGTGACCATGGTCTTGGATCCATCCTGTCGGGGACCAATAACATTTGAAGTCAGATACTCTGGTGCATTCAACCGAGTGCTGGGTTTGCAGACTACTTCAATGATCCTTCTCATGTTCATGATCCCAAAGCAGTTGTGTGATGCAGATTAGTATTTGTGAGTGGCATTCTATACCTTGCCAACGCGGACGAACATTCCACAGAAGTTTGAGTGACGTGGGCCCACAAAACCGCGATTTCGTCTCTCCTCTCTCTCCTTAGCCATCAATGCCTCCAGAGCTGCTCCAGACGGCTGACTTTTGGATTTCTGAAGTACATGTAAGGCATCAGTATCGTGTTATCATGAACATATGACACAAAAATTACTCAGACACAACAAGAACTGGACCATCGATTATTTTCGTACATAGAGCCTACGTGGACATTTTAACTGGTTGTGATGTTCGAAACGAAGAAATTAGGAACGATGAGGGTCACAATCCACGTGCAGGAAGCAAAAGTCGACCACTTGACCTATCGGGTGGGAAGTTTCGGATGGAATCAAATACCGCATGTGCTTCGTCGTAACTTGACGCAATAACATCTGGCATCTGTCCCGAGAAAAGGTAGTTGAAGATTTCCAATATGAGAAGATTGTCGTGCCGCAGGAACGGTTGCTCTCCACCTACATGTTGTATGAGAGCTAGAAGTAGGTCCATCACATTCTCATTGAACAGTCGCTCGATGAGCGCATCCTTGACATATAATGCTTGGGGGCTAGCCACGGAAGCCCGTACTAAGGAAGATGATGGGTCGTCAACAGCTAAAAGGTTTCTTATTAGAGTGAGCACCAGTTGGAACATCTTGCCATCCATATCAGTCAGTGTTCCGCTGCACGACCAACACATCATAGCGAATGTCAATTTCACACCGGCCTTCACACATCTAAATTCTATCAAATCATCTTTCTCCAGATGGAATTTGCACCGCGACCCAACCTCATCAGAAGGAGCTTCCCCAGAGCGTCAAGAAGTACCTTTCCATGTGCTCGAGGGGATCTTGTAGATGAGAAACTATCACCCCTATAGAGTCATCCTCGAGAACAGCCGATTTGAATTGACGCAAGTATTCTAGCTGTTGCGGAATGTCAGTTGACGACGGATCAATTGGCATTGTCAAAAACACCATGACCTTCACTGCATTAATGTATAAACATCGCACGGGGATCAGAAACCTGTGATAGTACTTAAGTCCATTGAACTTGTGCCTTCAACCTTCCACGTACTGCAGATTTGTCGAGGAGATTGAAGCCTTCTTACCAGCATTTAGGACAAGGTCGAAGTCATGTCGGTAATGGTTAATGATAGGCAATATGTCCTGCCGAATCGAGTTCCACTTCCCGAGCTGCATGAAGATGTCACGTTGCACAGGGTCGTCCCTCCTCAGGAAGCGTTGCAGGTGCCTCAAATTAGCTGTGAAACAACGAATCACGATTCCCGCGATCATCAGAAATTGCTCTGTTTCTGAGGTAATGGAACTCGCGACGAAATGGAAGAGATCATGACGTATTGAACATAATTCGAATCAATGACGCGTAACTGAGTTGTGTCTCACAATACATACCTAAGCAATCGGCATGCTTCACATACACAGCCCTGCCGCTGCCGCTTTCACGCAGAGAGCCTAGACCAGTGCAGACCGCTGTCACATGATCAACATCCATTTCAACCTCTTGACTTCCCCGCAGAAATCCACTTACAAACCGTGCATACGTGTTGACCAAGATCCCACACTCGTATCTACTACGCAGCAATATCCAAAAATTGACCGTCACTCGACTCAAAAGATAAGACCTCTATAATATAGGTACTCGACCATAAGCTCTACTTCGCTGAAAAACACAAAAATTGCCTCACAAACATCAAAACTTGGCTCTAAACATTGCATCTCCGTTACAAAAAAAAAATAAATAAAAAAAATAAATCACTTCTCAACGACTCATCTCCAGATTAATAATTACAGACATCTAAAAAACCTCTCCACAACGTGAAGCGCAGAAGCGATGGCTTCAAACCACACCGACGACTACTGCTGACTAAGATATACACAAGCGCCAGAGCTCTGATGGTGGAGCGGCCTCCTACACAATCCCGTAAATGAGAAGAAAGAGGCGAATCGCATCAGTGCGATGCGCAACGACCATATGAGACGCAAGGGAGAGGAAGGGAGAGCGGGAATGGAGAGCTTCAAAACAAATGGTGGGAGCCACGGTGGCGCTCGCTTCGATAGCTCTGAGCGGGAAACCCGCGGTTCCCCGCCTCATTTGTCATTGTCATCCTCGCGTTCCCGCTCTTTTACCCAGGGACGTGTCACTCACCAGTGCCATCGTGATATCTCAGGGAAGCCTTTTACCTCATGACTAAAATCATCCATGTTGAATTAGATGAATGGATGGTAATATCTATCAATGTCCAGTCCCATTGAATTTAATGTGTTTTGGTTCTCGTAATACTCAACTCCCTGTATCAATTAATTAAAATGTGATTGAAATGAGTTGAAGGTGAGAGTGCACTATACAATTGAACATTTCGACTTAATTTTTGAGGTTAAAAACGAATTGCAGCAGCAATATTCTGTTTTGCTATTGTGTTGCAAATATTAACCGAACATACAACTTGATGGGATTGTTACTATTTTTTAATTCTCATAAAATAAGTCATAAATTTTTTAGTGTGTAATGATAAAAGCATATACTTTTTCTGATGTGAAGTAATCCAAAATTTATTCTCAGAACATTTAGTCATTTGATAGTTGTACAATCAGTACGTTTAGTATTTGTGAATCAAATACATTAATGGATAAAGTATTACGTAAGAAACATTTTTTCTTTCGTCTCTATGTAACCATCTAAAAATGTATGTACAGAATCTTTAATAAAAATGATTTCACTATGATTTGAATCAAAGACCATTTTAGTTGCCTTTCTCATGGTTTAGTGATACTTCAAATGTAGCAATATGGTTTTTATGATGCCAGTGCTCAAATCGTAATTGGCAGTATGGATGTGGCCTCTCAAATTACATATCTTCTAATATATTTTGAATTTAATGGATATATATTTATATATTTATATATCTATAGATATATCCATAGATGGACACATAAATAGATGCATAGCTACTAAATGAATAAAGAGATGTATAAATACATACCTCTTCCTTTAATATATAAATCGTGTAGTTTAAAATTCTATTATGATGAAAATATTTAGTGCATATTGAAACCTTTAATAATGACATCTAAAAAGAAATACATCTTATTATTAAAAGATTCAAGGGTTTGGATAGTATGAATGCTATTGTTTTTATTGATTTTAGTAGGTATAATCAAATATTGTATAGTTTATAATAGATTTGTGATGCTTCAATATCAAAATACTAAGTGCAATTAAACAATTGTGTAACAAAATTCTAACATATTTTTGTAGCTAGATTCTTTTCTGTATAAATATGAATCAACTACACGGGTTCATAATCAATATGCATAAGTAATCAAGGAAACACCAAAAAATTCTCCATGAAGGTTTCTTCTTCAAGTACAAAACATCTCTCTCTCCCTCTCTCTCTCTATTTAAATAAATAATAAATAAATAAATAAATAATTAATTTTGGTGTAAATGTTTGTGACTACGCGTCATACACTCACGATGCTACATTCAAATCCTCATTTTGTTTTCATCCGTGCGTCATCACTAAATTAGTCTTCATAGAAAATGGTTCTACAACCCATCTTCAGTGGGGATGGATTTACCCTGGGAACGTGGGGAGCGTTAGGAGCGAGAGAAGTGGGGTACAAATCATGATGATGGGTTTTTTTGATTTTTGAAAATCAAAGGGAGGGCGCGACTTCCGAGGCGGTACGGAGCGTGAGCGGGGGAGCCAAGGTAGGTGCGGGGGCAATAAAACATTTGCCCACCCGTTTTCTAAATCCGGGTGAATTCCTGCGAGCTCGACATCGCGTTGCCGTCCACTCCATCTCCCCTCCAATTAGTGTCCACTGACCGTGGTGACCCTTGCTCCTTCGATGATTACTGAGTAGTGCGAATTCATCCGTGTGATTCTTTTTTGTGTTTTCTCAGCTTTGATGCTGCCCGATCCTTTTCTCTTCGCTGTGTGTGTGTGTGTGTGGGTCTCACTCTGGAAATGCTGTGGGTGCGTGGATGTTTTAGGGTTTTGCCTAATCAGTGATTGGACTGGCTCGTTGTTTTGTGTGCAGGTCTAAGTTCTGCAGGTTTGTTGCAACAGGCGCTGTGTGGATTGTGTGATGTTTTCAGGAGCATTGAGGCGTTTGCCGAACATGAGGCAATTGGTCGGCCGCTGGCACCTTTGCACATGTTTGATCCAATTCGACGTTGGACCTTGCCACGCATGAGAGTGCTGGATTTGTGCTCTGATTTTCCTTTACGTGTGTCTGGGATGGAGAGCGGTGGGCTTGTCGGAGATCGACAATTGTCAGCGCACTGGCACATTATGTCTATTTTTGGGAGCTTCATATATTTTGAAGACATGAAGTGGTGCATATGTGTACGTATGGACAGTGAGTCTTCGTGGCTGTGTTCCTGGGAGGTGACGAAAAAATGTGTCCGATTGGACTGGAAGCTGTAGTCGTGTCTTTAATCGTGTACATAGCCAAGGTTTGGGAGACAAAGGTAGGAGCTTTCTACGACAATCTCCGGAAGTTAGTTGCCACAGCCGCTGGATATCCTCAACTGGTATTTCCATCCGCCTCAGATAACTCTCATTGTGATCTCATAATCGTCACACACTTCTTAGTCCAGGATTCTGCGCGCTGCTCTGCAAACTCAGTTGTAGGATTGTAAAGCATCTATAATCGCGCAGGCCCGTCGCCGCGTTCTTAGAAAGATCTGGTAGTGCTCCCTCTGAAACTGGGGCTCCACTCGCAATTTGCATCAGCCGCTGCACACTGGATCGATGGTCTGAGTCTCTATGGTGGGCAGCTACTGATCCATTCATTTACTCAACTTGAGTTCCTTGAACTCACAAGTTATCGTGTTTACACAGGACGAAGGGGCGCAGACGGACATGCCTATCAGGTTCATGCTAAATACTGAGTTGAAGTCTGCTTCTGCTCTTTATGAAGACTCACAATCGGATTTTTGACTCTGATTCGGATGTTGATGATCGAGGGAGCACGAGGGGGAAGACGGGAAACGGTGGTAGGGGTGTGGAGGTTCTTTGAGAAGAGAAGCTCTTTGAGGCTTTATGTTGCAGGATGCGTGACTTTCATGGTCTCTAATCGGCGAGTTTCATGTTTAACATCGTCCTTACTCTGCGCAAGAAACCAGAGGAGTCTCTCTAGCTGGCTGGAGTGTCACTGAAAAATAAATTTGTACACGAGCGGTTGGATGAATAGAGATGTGATTCTACCAATCTGAGCTTGAGGGGTTTGTGGACCTGGCTGGGACTTTAGAGAGCGCAACATTGGAAGGCGGGATTAGAGAACGCGCTTCAGTCATGTAAAGGAGTATTTTCGACATAGTGCGGCGTCTGGTGCTGGTCGGGGAATGTAGTTCAGACGAAGTCATGATGTTCTCTTTCTACGTTGCACATAATCTGAAGACGTGGGGTGACAGTGGTTTGAAAACCGTAAAGATATTGATTGCCATGATAGAGATTCCTCTTACAGAGTGTCAACAGCACTACCGTTACATGAAGAACTAGACTAGGAAAGGGTTGTAACAAATGTTAGTCAAGGTAGGAAATTATGCTGGACTGGGTGATCTCTACGTCAAAAATCCATACTGTTTTAATGGTTACAAATATCAGGTGTCTGCCGCCGGTATTGTCTTAAGGTGTGACGGCTTCGTTAGAAACCTCAATCTTGGGTGTCGACAGCAATTGGACAGACAACTTCTTTTCAGCTTTTGTAGCCCTCTCCGCTGGTAAATGGGATTGTCTGCGAGCAGTAATGCAGCTCGCTATAAGGTTGCAAGAGCTTGTATTAGCATTGGCAGTGCTACTACTGAAAAAAAGAAAGAGAGAAAGAAAGAAAATGAGAAAAAAAGACGAAATCAAGACATGCAAATTTTTTATGTTGGTTCATCGATTTACTTGCCTATCCTCATACAAGACACATCCGTTCTCTTCAATCTTTATTACAACTGCTCTGGTTCTAGTTTTTTTTTAAATGATAAAATTATTGTCCCCTGAAGTTTATATATTTATTATTATTATTATCATTATTATTATTAATTTTTACTTTTCAAAATGAAGTTTTTAAAATTTTAACAAAATTTATCATGAGGAATACTCTCTTGCTGAATCTAAGACACTAATTTCCAAATTTGGCTGAAGGTATTTAAACTTCCCAAGTGGGTTGATATTGAGGTGCTAGCACAGAACCTTGAGCAGAAAGACTTTTATAGGATGTTCTTTGACAAATAATACTTAACTATAATCGTTGGGCAAAAATGTGCCAGGGCCTTACTTATAGAAGCTTCTGTATTCTCATTGCATGCACGACAGAACCTCAGCCTTTCTATTGTGACAATTCCCAGTAGTTCTGCATTAATATATCGACAAATAATTCGCAGGATCAACAGTTCAAAACAAAGGAGCGCACCTTTGGTAGCCTACATCTTCACCTCAAGTGTTGAAGAATCTACACCTTTAGGAAAGGCCAGGACTAGTACACAATCGAAGGCAAAATGACCAAGAACTTGGGTTCCAAGTAGAAGGGTATGAAAAATCTATCGCATGCTCGCGAAAAGAATCTAATTATACAAGCCCAAAGAAATGACTCTAGTCACGCAGGTTCCGCGCACTCAAGTCTGATGCTTTCAACTACCAATGAAGGAAGGAAAGAAGCATCTGGAAGAAGACTGGAGACGGAGATGACGCTATAAAAGATAATCTTCATTATGCCCCAACACTGCTGATGGCGTTCGCACCATTGGGCACCTCAATATTCAGCCGCCGCTTAGCAGCCTTTGATCGACAGCACCACACCTCGAATGCCTCGCTCAGATCCGGAAACCTGTAGACAACAAAGAGAGGCCTCGACTTGTCAGAAACCAGGATACAGCTACAGAAAATGTACCATTCTGGGTGACGACAGTAATGGATAGAGTGAGTTACTGGGGATTCGGCCTTAAAATCGTGAGGTGCTCTTATTTTAGCAAACACTACAGGAATCCCCTATTAACTCTTCGTTGCTTCGAAAATCGCTAATACCTCGTGGGTATTAGCATTAACTGGAGAGCAATTGGAAATGATTATGTACGAGTAGTCATGAGGCTGTTCTACCAAGAATGATTCCATCGAAGCCAGTCAGCGAATATCTCAGCTTGATCATCGGATGGCAACGACAAAACGAGTGATACAAGAGAATTTTCGATGCTCTCGCTCAAGTCCAAATCCATTTCCAATTCCATTTTCTCCCCTTCAAAGAGAGAGTCCAGCACAGGCTTCGTCTCGCGAAAGAATGGCAGCCACACTTTCACCAGTTGGATTCGATCGTTGGTAGTGAGTATCACATCCCCATAGCCGACTGCCTTCAGGACCGTGGCAGTGATCTCCACAACTAGCAGCTTGGTATTCCAGGAGGTTTCTCGCAACTTTGCAGTGTTCAAGGTCTGAGTTATCTCGCTTGAAGCCTCCACCCAAAACTCTACAAAGTCGGGGTTAAGCCCCACGTGAGGAAGCACGCGCGATGCCCACACGAGGTCACAAACTTTCTCGAAGATTGTCTTCTCAGAGAGTTTCAAGTCCTTGGTAGAATCAGTGAGGTGAGCGCTGAGTTCAGCTTTGAATCCTTTAAATAACTTCAGGAAGTGCTTTTTAAGGTCGGTTTTCAGGTCATCGTCCGGTATGAGCAGTGGGGCATCGTCATCCTCCTCCAGCATGTATTCAACCTCCACACAACGAAAATTTAACATGATAGTCAGTTGAAGTATGCATGTACAATTTGAAAGAAGATAATACAGACAAAGTAGTCGATGTGACCCTCATCGTGCAACTACGTCGACACAAATGAAAGCACAGAAACGACTTCCAGATGTATGTATACCTGTTCCTGAGCTGCAACTTTCAGATCACTTGGTGACTTCTCAAGATATTTAGATCTGCTCTGTGGCGCGGTGGCTGCGTGCACTGCACAGAGAAACACATTGCGGACCGAAACCGCTTCCACAGGTTGCAACCGCGCTAAAATGGGCTGCACTTCGGCTGCAAGCTCCGCCACCAGTTTATGCGACGAGCCCACAATCGCTGGCAGCGCCTTCAGAATCTCCTCCTCCTCGCTTTCTTCCCACGGCACCGCCTCCAAGTAGCGAGCACACTTAGAAGCTACAGCGGAACACCCGAGCTTGGTAGCCACTTTCAACATCCCGAGCGCATTCTTCACGCTGTGCCACATGTCTCCGACGGGCTCATCGAGATTGGAGTACATCATGCGCAGCAGATTGACATGGTAGTCGAAATCATTCTCAATGCACAAGACCTCCACGCAGTAGCGCGAGTCAAGAAGATGGTATGTTGGCCAGTCATCCGACAGCCGGAGGGCGAAGTACTGGCTCTTTGCACAGAGGATCTTAGAGTGAGTGTAGAACCAGTCGTCACGGCCATGAACTGTGCGTAACCTGACAATCACGTCGCTTGTCGCGCGCTCTCCGACCTCGTAGCCATTGCTGACGACATTGAGCGGGGACTCAACCTCAGCGGTTTCACATTCCGTCATCGTTGATGAGTTGGGGATGGAGCAACAGAGCGAGGGGGTTCCAAGTTCTGTGTAGGATCTTTGAGTGATGTTGCTGACATACACGCCGACACTAACAATTGCTATCTAGACACTAAATTTGAGGATTCGTAGGCGTTTCCTGTATGATCAGGTTGTCCGTCAATTCTGGTACTCCACTGCGCGAATGCTGATGATGAGCATTTTGTTGGAAGCATGGACTAGATCGGAAGTTGGGATAAGGAGACTAGGGAAAGGACATGATTTAAGACCCTCATGTCGATACACGGAGCCCCTCAGAAGTGTCAAGAAACTTGCTGCTGTCTATATTTGCTGTTCATACCTGTCAAAAATTAAGTAGAGATATCAGAATCTTCGATATTGTGAGTAATTTAATGGAAAGTTTTCACGGTAGTTTATGATCGGGAAAGAGGCTCTGAAGGATTCTAGATCATAACCTCTTCTGCTACTGTGTAATGAAAAGGCGCTTATCCTTCCTAAACTCCAGAAGATCCCAGTTGATCGTGGCTCCAATTAAACTATACAATGTTGCGAGCGCCAGGTATAACGCATCAGGGAAGAAATCCTCGGTCGACCTGAGATAAGAAGATCGCCATAACCTGTACAATATTGTCTGAGGTGATCCTTTTACGAGCCATACTCACCTTGCAGAAGAAAAGGGATTTGGAAAAATATTCATACAACAGAGTGATGCAGAGGTGAATTCAAAACGTACCAGTTGCTGCGAATGAAAGAATCAATCTGCTCGCGCCGTTCTTGTGACTTGCTTGCCAGCATTCTCTGGTCTTTCCCCTAACATTAGTTGGAGGGTGACCTTGCCTAACGAGCATTTTTCACATGGAATTGCCCCTGCCTGTCGTCGATTCAATTGTGCTGGATACCACACTGACATTGCCAAAATTCTCCAGGTGATTATCGCAATTCAAGGAAAATAGAAATCGGTCCACTCATTAATCCAGAGCAGGCCTAAGTATCACTATTGTAACTTCAAATTTACTTTAAATTGAAGGTGTTTGCTCCACACACGTTGGGGGAGTTACGATGCATCTCAGCTTTGAAGAGGACAAAATACCGCACAATGTTACATCTAACATGATACCCTTGACTCACAATCCAAACGTGCTACAACGTGGCTGTCTCCAGGATGCTCCGACTAAATCCATTCTCTTCATGACCAAATCAACATCAGTTCAGAATGTCTACTTCAAATAGAAAGCCAAGGCCAGGACGAAGCGAGACTGCTACAATTAACCCTTTCTCTATTCTTCACCAGCCACGCAGAAGTTGGCTTAACTGTTCTCAATCTCAGATTCATTCTTTAAATCCAAAGACATAATTCGTGACACAGGGGTTGTGAACTGACGTCAATCAGCCAGCATCCCCACAACGTGCAAGAAGCTCAGAGCATCCACTCTAAAGCTCAACCAACTATCCATAAAAATCTCCAGCACCACAAATTGCAAAAAGACACCTCAAGCAAACTGAAACCAAAAAATGGAGGAATCGTTTGATCCCGCCCACCTAGTATTGCTTGCAGCCTCCTTCATATCCTTGCTCGAAGAATCACTCAAAAAATCAATCACAATGACGTCCCCTTCACACGCTCCGACGAAAGCCAACACTCTTTTCCTTCAACACCAACACCGAGAGATAGAGCTTCGTTCAACGATCACTCAAACCCATCCTATGATTTCCACCCCAAGCTCACAGCAGGACCAATCCTAAAATCCCCCCAACCGGTCATCAAACATTCTCAACAACGCCGACACGCAGAAACATCCTGCAAGCAGAATCGGCAACAGCCACTCTCCACCAGAGAAAAACAATACGCGTCGACGCAGATGTAGAGCAAGTGAACACAAAACTCCCTCTGAAAAGTTCTCCACTAGTCTCTGATCCCTCCTACCCTGGGCTCTGTTCAGTTCTAGACCCAGCGCTGCAATCAAGCTCGCAAGTGATGACAGATTATGCCTGCGATTGCAGGTGGCAACTGCACTGCCCTGAGCTGACGACGACGACGACGACGACGGTTCCAGGAAACCAGATGAAGGAGAAGACATCTGTGAGATTTGTCGGAATGGCAAGATACTTGGAGGCGAACTGGATAGACATCCATATGCAAAAAACACAAAACAGATAGCCACCTCAGACAGATCTCCACAGGCGTAAAGGGCTCCATGAAGCTGTGTGGCCTTGACTCCAAGGTGATAGACAGACCCCACACCCACCCACCAACCCACCCAGAGACTGTTTATCTATTGGATACCTGTAACAGTTGCAAAGATGCAATTTTTATGAAGTATTTTTCCCAGTGAACAGTGCAGAAGTTTGTACATGACGGAGAATGCATCCCCACAACAAATGGGTGTTGTTGCAATACTCTCTCTCTCTCTCTCTCTCTCTCTCTTTTGGAGAAGAATATAAATAAGGACAAGGGCTTTTGCTGCAGTTTTGTTGGTGACCACCATTGGATAACTTCCAGCTTTGGAAACCCATAGATGAAACCTTGGACAACCAGCACCCTAGTCCTAGAGCTTGGTGGTGGGTTAAGTTTTATCAATTCTTGTCACTAGTGGGCGGCAAATGAAGTGAGTATGTTTGAGAAACTTCTGAGCCAGTTAATATGGGTGGCAGAGGGGCAATGTAAGTTGGGGAATTTTGTTTTGAAGAACATATGTAGTTTGATTCTTTGATTCTTTGATTCTTTTGATTCTTTTTTACAGGTAATTGTAATTTGTACAAATGGTATATAAAACCATTGCTTTGATTCTACATTTTTTATGAGTAAAACCAAGGTAGTGAAGAAGGTAACATTCAAATTGAAATTTATTATAGAAATTGTAACTTTAGAAATTTAAAAATATTTTTTAAATACTTTATTTTTTTAGTGGTATTATTAAAAGAATTAAATCCTTATACTCTTAAATTTTAAATATTTCAAAATATACATTAAAAGCTACCTAATTTCATTCTTGTAATATATGTTTTTTCACATCTTTTTATACAAAGACATGTATAAGTTTTAATTAAAGATTTTAAATTATTAATATAAATTAAGTGTTTAAAAGTAATTAATAACCATTTGAATCAATCTATAATCTAATATAAAATAAATTATTTACTCATAATGAGAATTTTAATTTAAAAAAATGATATTCAAATTACTTTGCATAAGTAAAAATTCCTTTTATAAAGAATAAAAATTCATACATGTTCGTAATAAGCACAAATTTCTTTTATACCTTTTGAAATTTACTAACTTTAATCAAATTTATATTTTATATATTTTCTAATTTTTTACTTTGATTATGCAATTGTCTTCTAAAAAAAAATAGATTTATAAAGAATATAGAGACATCATTGTAGTAAATAATAACAACATTCATCTTATTATTATTATAATTATTTATATTTATACATAAATATATATTTCAAAACTTCTATATTATATGTAAATATTATTATAAACAAGATAAAATTATCAATTAGTTTTGTTTAATTTAAATATTTTAAATAAAAATATTATATTAAATTTATAAAATATAATTTATTTTAAATTTATTTGAAGATTATTTATATTATTTATGTTTAAAAAAGACTCCCATGATATTGTCATGGACATACATTGGAAGATTCTTCGAATATTCTTCTAAAATATTCTCTAAAGATTCTCTAAAGATTCTTTTAGAAGGTTCTAGAAGATTCTTAGAATATTTCCTAAAGATTCTCTTAGAAGGTTCTAGAATATTCTGATAGATTCTAGGAAGTTGTTCGAGAAGTTTCCTAATTAGTAGAAGTTGTTGGAGAAGCGTCCTAGTTAGCGGAAGTAGCTCGAGAAGCTTCCTATTCAGTAGTATATATAGGAGTCGAGGCTGAAGGGTTCTTCAGTCTCGACAACACATCTCTTGGAGTTCTAGCTCACCTTTCTGGTGTTGTTCTTGTACTCATCTGTTTAATCTAGTTCTGCCACTTCTTCTTGAACTTCTTGTTAGATTTCAAGTCTGTATTTTGTGTCCGTGACAGTTTGTCGAGACTACATTTTCACTGGTATCAGAGCTAGTTCCTTCTTGTTAGAGAGTGGATTACCCCTCTTCTTGAAGGTGTGCTAGTGTTTTAGAGGTTGCGGATTACCCTCCTCTAAACTGATATCTCTTCTTTCTCAATATTGGAGCCTTATTCTTCTTGGAGAGAGTGGATTACCCCTCATCTTGGAGTCTTAAGGCGTTTTAGAGGTTGCGGAGTACTCTCCTCTGAACCAATATTGTCCTCTTGTCAAAACTCTTTTTTCTTCTTTCTGAAGGTTAGCCGAAGGTTAAGACGTTAAAATGGCTGAAAGTTTGGAATCCAAACTAGACGCCATCATAAATGCTCTTGCCTCGTTGTCACATAGGACAACAGAGATCGAAGGAGTCATGGTAGGACTCCATAACAATGGAGCATCTGGGATAGCGCCATCTAAAGCATATCAGCCTCAAACTTTTGCGCCAGAAGAAGCAGTTCTACCTCCATTTCAACAAGATCGAGTAGTCCTACAACGAAAGGAGCCTCGAGTTAGTCTTCCGGATAAGTTTGATGGAACTCGTTCCAAGTTTCGAGGTTTTGTCAACCAAATCAGGTTGATAACAATTTTACAGCCCGAACGTTATCCGACGGAGGAAGCGCGTGTTGGGCATGTTGGAACCTTGCTTACAACATAAGCTCTGTCTTGGTTTACTCCCTTGTTTGAGAAGCGATCGCCAATCCTGAGCAACTTTGAAACGTTCTTGGAGGCGTTTGCAGAAGTATTTGGCGAGCATGATAAAGTTCGATGGGCTACAACAAAGATCCGATCGCTACGACAAGGAACACGCTCTGCATCAGTCTATGCCTCGGATTTCAGACAATTGGCAAGTGACATTAATTGGGGTGAAGAGGCGTTGGTGAGTCAGTTTTATTGGGGCTTGAAGGATGATGTGAAGGACTTGCTGTTATCTCTTCCTGATCCTCAAACGTTCAACGAAGCTATTAGCCAAGCTGTAAAGTGTGACAACCGCCTATTCCAGCGTCGCCAAGACCAACGTCCAAGACACCAAATGACTCGTTACGACGTGACTATGTCTGCAAATAGCTTAAACTCACATTCGGAGGCAATAGACATGCAAATTGACACGACGCGTGTCCGATCTCTTACTCCAATAGAGAAGAAACGGCGTATGGAGGAAGGGTTATGTTTGTACTGTGGAGAAGAAGGTCACAAGGTTGGAAATTGCCCAAAGAAGCAAAATTGGCACCCTGTCAAGACTAGAAGTGCGATGATTCCGGAAAACGACGACGCCCAGCCACAGTAGGAACTGTGCGGCTGGACAATCTAATATCACGACAACAATCAGGTTCCTCCTTCTCTGTCCAACCTGCCCGTTGTTTTACAATTCTTTTGTTTTTAGGCCCTCAAAAACAAAAAACTTTAGCTTTATTGGATTCGGGGGCATCTACTTGTTTTTTAGATGAAGAGTTTGCTAAACGCCACAAGATCCGTTTAGTACAGAAGTCCAAACCTGTTCACATAGAGGTGATAGATGGACGACCCTTATTGTCAGGCAACGTTACCCATGAATCAGAACCTATAGAAGTGGTGTTTAAGGACCATAGTAGTCACGTTATTTTTAATATTATTAGAACCCCATCAAGCCCTGTTATCCTTGGTCTTTCTTGGTTAGAAGATCATAATCCGTCCATTGATTGGAGGCTACGAAGGATAACATTTCCTGAAAAAAATAATAATAAACCTGTTGGTAGAACCTACATGAAGAAATCCATGTTTATTGGAGCGAGAGCGTTCCTAAGATCGTCCAAGGAAGGCGCACCATTTGTCATTTATGCAGCTCCAACTAGCGGCGAGAATATCTCAACATGGAATATACCAGAGCAATATAGGGATTTTGAAGACGTGTTTCAGAAGAAGAACGCCGATATACTGCCGAAACATCGACCATATGATTGCGCCATAGACTTAGAGGAAGGAGCGCAACCACCTTTTGGTCCAATATACAACCTATCGCAGACGGAGTTGGCAGAATTGCGGAAGTACATCGATGAGAATCTAGCCAAGAATTTTATTCGACATTCAAAGTCGCCAGTTGGAGCACCAATCCTATTCGTGAAGAAAAAGGATGGCTCACTGCGGATGTGCGTGGACTACCGAGGACTCAACAAGGTGACCAAGAAAAATCGCTATCCCTTACCTTTGATCTCCGGCCTCTTAGATCAACTTGGACATGCAAGAATTTTTACAAAGATTGATTTAAGAGGAGCCTACAACCTTGTGCGAATCAAAGAAGGAGATGAATGGAAGACAGCCTTTCGTACAAGGTATGGCCATTTTGAGTACAATGTCATGCCTTTTGGTCTTACCAATGCTCCAGCGGTCTTTCAGCATATGATGAACGACATCTTTCGGGAGTACCTTGATGACTTTGTTGTCATCTATCTGGATGATATTTTGATATTTTCCAAGAATGAAGAAGAACATGAGAAGCACGTTTGTTTGGTTCTTGAAAAACTACGCGAACGAGGACTCTACGCCAAGTTGGAGAAGTGTCAATTTCACCAGAATGAGATGGAATTTTTGGGCTTCATTGCGACTACAGAGGGCTTGAAGATGGATCCAAAAAAGGTAGAAGTAATTATATCTTGGGAAGTTCCGAAGACGGTTAGAGATGTTCAGTGTTTTCTTGGATTTGCTAACTTCTATCGGATCTTCATCAAGAATTATTCTCAAGTTGCTGCACCACTCACGCGTCTAACAAGCAAAGACAAGCTCGAATGGGGATCACAAGCAGCAAAAGCATTTCAAGATCTCAAGACGGCATTCACTATGGCTCCAATCTTGGTACACCTTGACTTTGCAAAGGCTTTCTATTTAGAGACCGATGCTTCAGATTTTGCTTTGGGAGCTGTGCTTTCACAGATGGGCATAGACAAGAAGCTTCACCCAGTTGCGTTCTATTCACGAAAGTTCTCTGCTGCTGAGATCAACTACGAGATCCACGACAAAGAGCTGCTTGCTATAGTGGATGCCTTCCAAGAGTGGCGTCACTTCCTCGAAGGAGCTGCACATCCAGTGACTGTTTATACGGACCACAAGAATTTGGAGTACTTCATGACAGCTCGAATTTTGAATCGTCGT